TTTTAGTCAAAATGGTGCAGCTTGTAATCGTGAAATTACTGTAACTCTTCCTGCTGTGTCCTGAGCAAAACCCAGAGGCACCCAGCCTGCAAGAGAGCTCCAGCTGCTGCCAGGATTTGTGGTACCATCCTTTCACAAAACTTACATGCTATAATTTTGTATTAAAGATTTATAGATCTTCCAGCTATGTAAGAAAAACTGTTTCCAGGTGGATCTGTCTCCATGTCAGTAGACAAGACCACATCCTGTCCATCAATCCTTCTCCAAGCCAGCCAGGCTGCCACTGAGTTCCAGCACACACAACCTAACTGGGTTTGCTCTATAGCACTTAGGATTTATTTATTTAAGACAGGGATAGACCTTTCTCTTCTGGTTCAAATGCTTATTTCCTCAGAGAGAACACATGGATGCTCTCCTGAACCCACATGGAGAGCAAGAGCAGAAAATGAGATGAAAGTATAAGGCAAAAGTCACTTCAGAGTGACCCCTCAGTAAGAAAACACCACAGATTAAATAGCTGGAAAGGCAGCAGCATCCAGCAGGAGAGGTTAACTCTGCCATGGTGACTCTTACAGCTGTCTGGGGCTCGGGCTCTGTATGTTATTCCAACCTGACCCTTCAGCCCTTTCATGTTTCAAGTCACAGTGGAAAATGGTTTAGAGATTTAGTGAAAACAGAAAGCAAGATGGAAAAAATCCATCCCAGGGAGTTCACCCAGGAAGTGTTTTTAGCTGGTGTCTTAGGTTGCTCTATCTATACTTACATTTGTTTACCAAAGTGATTCCATGACTTCTGGTGTGTTATTCTAACTTGAAGGAAATTCTAAATCTTTAAAACTTAAAAGGAGTTTGCTAAGGCAACATAAAAGTACTTTATTTCTGAATGAAACACTAAAACTTCAGCACTCTACCTGGAATCACAGTACATGGACACAAGGGAGGAACAAGCACAAGATGGAGGGAAAAGACAGAGGAGAAAATTTGGTATATTTATGTGGTGAACCCTTAATAGCCATATTCCACAGCATAAATTAATCTCTCAGCATTAATTATCAGTTTATTATCAATTAATTGCAGTCACTAGGAAAAAAAGGGATTTTAATGGAAACCACTGCAGCTTTACTCCCCTCAAAAATAGGAGCCCCCAAAGCACACGTGGGGACACAGGGCTGGGTCTGAGTGACAGCAATGTCATCCTGTCTGTCCTCACTGTCTGGGAAATCACCACCTCAGGTGTGTGTGTGGTTCTCTGGGGGACAAGGGGATACAAGCCACGAGCTCCAGTGGTTCCTGTGCGACAGAGGAACAGCTTTGCCAGGAGTAAATCAACACTTAGCTCAGGCTTTGGGGTGAGTGGTTTTTGTACAGGTACAGAGGACCAGGAGCCCAGCAAGACAACCAACAGAGTGCTTGACACCCTAAGAGCCATTTTTGCTCCCAGAACCAGCCCATTTCTGAATGGCAGCCTGGCAGACCTTGAACTCAACCCAGGATTTACAGGTGAGTGAAATCTCTGCTCTCCTGACAAGCTGTCATTTAAACAGTTCCATATCCATCATCTCTTTAGCAAAACCCCACCACGGAGCAGTGGGTCAGGGGTGAGGGGAGGGCAAGAACAGCAGGGGCTGCTTTTCTGCACTTCAGAAAATTACACTTGTGGCACAAGAGCTTGGAGCTCTCAAACAAAACCCTACAGAGCCACAAAGCAGAGCTCAGGGAAGGGAACTGAAATTCCACCATCCTCCAGGTAGCAGGTCAGTGGTGGGGTATATGCACAGCTACAAATGATTGTATGGACATTGCAGGCATTAAATACAGCTCCCTCCCTACCCCACAGCCCAAATGTGCCCCTAACTACTCTGAACTCCACCACACAGGAGAGTTCCATCAAAGCCAGCAGCCACCACTAGCCTTTAGAGCAAAAAAAAAAACCAAAAAAACAAAAAACCAAAAAAAACCAACAAACCTTTGAAAATTACTTGCCTGAGGTTATTAATACAACAGAAAAGAATCCCAGGATGGCTTGGGTTGGGAGGATCCTTAAACCCCATCCAGTCCCACCCCTGCCATGAGCAGGGACACCTCCCACCATCACAGGCTGCTCCAAGCCCTGTCCAACCTGGCTTTGGAGGCTTCCAGGGATCCAGGGGCAGCCAGAGCTGCTCTGGGCATCCTTCCCAAAATTCCATCTAACCCTGCCTCCTGTTAGGGAAGCCGTTCACCCTTTTTCCTATTTCCAAAAACTTCCCAAATTCGTTGCCTGAGGTCACCTAGAGCATCAGCAGCAATGAGAGATCTCAATTTTCTTGAATCTCATTTCTCAGGCAGATCATGGAAGCAAACATCTGACATATATATATATATATATATATATATATATATATATATATATATATAATTGATCAGAGCACAGAAGCATGTTTTTGTAAAAACAAACTACCAGGGAGAAAAGAGGTTTTTTGTAGGTCCAAATCCAAAAAACTTCATTTGAAACCCCCCTGCCATGATCCTGTTAGGACTGCTATGCCACAGACCAGACATCCACCACATCATTTATAAACAGCAGCCACTCAACAGCATGGAAATAACAAAATCCTGTTGTATATGACTCTGCTCCTTTTCAGTTCTGTTCATCCTGACACCCCGGGATGAAGCAACACTACCAGTGTTTGAAAAATACCACTAACAGGGTAAGAAATGCCTCTGGGCAAGGTTAGAGATAAAATCCATGAATATTCCCAGGGAAAAGATCTGCAAGCAGGGTGTTAGAGATGCAGCTGATCCAGCCTCAAGGACAGAGGTTGGAAGGGTGAAATATTAGTTAGAAAGCACAAGAAACAGAAGCAGCTATGGGGAGGTTTTGTGAACAAAGCTGGAGCCAAAATGGAAAATCAGCTGCTTTTCTGGCAGCTGCAGCCATCAGTTTTATGAAGAAAGAGTGAAAAGTGGTGCCAAGACTTAGAGATAAAATATTTAAGACAGACTAACTTCAATATCCAGTGTCCCTGATGGGGGCTTTTGAAAAATGTAAATCACAATGTATGAAATAAAGGCACGGTTTTAAACCCACAGATGAGTTAAAAATGCACCATTTGGAAAACAGAAACTCCTTCTTGATCTCTCCAAACCTGAGCCCTTGGTGGCAAACCTGTTCTACGGTCTTGGAAAATACAGCCTGAGTGTATTTGTGATGCCTCCATCCCCCAGCCTGTGGCACATCCTCAGAGTGACAACAAACACCTGCTCTGGGCATTGGAACAAACTTGGGGCCCGAGCCTGATCTGAAATTCTGGGACAGCCCCAACAATTGAAGGAACAAGCTCAAATCAGGTTCTCCCTGAGAATTCTGTGACTGACTCCACTAAACAAAACTTACTTTAATGTAATATGCAGTCAAGCAAAGCACCTCTATTTACTGAGGGCTACAGTGGCACTCTCAGCCTTCTCATTACCCAGACAGCTCAATTCCAAATTATCTTCAGAGTGTCAGTTTAATAATCCAGGTACACTCAGTGTAACTGGTAGGACAGAACTTTGGAGAACTGTTGGGATTGTGCATTTTTTCTCCTGGCTCTGTGCGAGTAAATATTTGCTTCAAACAGTGAAAATTACACATCTTTGATTTACCACTGAAGAATCTTTGGGATAAGATGCCCTAAGGAGGGTTAGGCTGGATATTAGGTTGAATTATTTTAATGGAAAAGGTTCTCAAGCCCTGCCAGAGGCTGTCCAGAGCAGTGGTGGTAGAGTCACAGTCCCTGAAAGAGTTAAAAGTGTGGTGATGTGGCACTTGGGGACATGGATTAGTGGTGGCTTGGCAGTGCTGTGGCAAAGGTTAAATTCCATGATTTTGGAGGTCTTTTCCACCCTAAATGACCCCATGAGTCAATGATTCTGCTTTTCCACACACACTGTTTATTTTGATGTGGTTTCTGTGCCTTGACAGAGCCTTTTTGAAACCATCCTTCCCTAACCTGCCTCCTCTGCATTTTATGTGCAGTGAATCTGTTATTTGGAAGTGCAGATGCTATTCCAAGGTCTGTGAACTTCACCTACCCTGAGGCTGAGCATCACAACTGCTCACCTGGACTGTCTCCTGCTGCTTCCTCAGCCTCGTACACCCAGCAATACCTGGTGATCAGAGCAGCTTTGCAGCCTTGCAGAGGATGGCATGGATGAAACTGTTTTAGATGATTTGTCCCAACAGTCTGTCACCTTTCCAGGCAAACAGGTATTGAAAATGTGTGCATGGCAAACATCCCCAAAAGGAATAAACATCAAGGCAGGAAAGAATATCCACCACAATCCTGCTCTCCTTCTGGACTTGAAGCAAGCCCTGCTCTTGGAAAAGCTGTAAAACAAGTAAACTGTAGGCAAAGGACTCCTCTGCAGAGCATCTGCACTTGCTCAGTTGTGGGGAGGACTCAGTGTCTCGTCAGAACTACCCAAATGTCCCCTTCAATTTGTGGTTGGGCCCAGCCTTGTCTCCAAAGCACCACATGAGGGTCAGGAGCCCTGCCAAGATCCATCACAGTCCTCTGTCCCCATGAATTTCTGCAGCCACCCTCACTGCCAGAGCCCAGAGCACAGTTTTGTTTTCTGTCTGAAGGCAAAACACCCAAAGGACACAACATTAACAAACCATTATGGAATTGTGAGAGCCTTTGCTGCTCACAAAAACCCTTTCAGGGCAGCACTTCGATGTGATACTGCACTTTATCCTGAAAAATTATTTTCCCTCTCGTTCATTTTGCCTCTCTGGAGCAGGGACTGGCCCTTCCCCTCAGCTGGGGGATTTCCATCAGGGAAAACATCTGAACTTGTTATTATCAATCTCATTACCTTTGACCAGCAGGTCAGCCTCATGCAGGTCTGATGAACTGGGAGGCTCTTGTCTTGAGGAGGTTATTTCCAGATAACCTCTTTCCCCAGCAAAACCCATCCTCAAATAAATTCTCCAGAGCATTTCTCCACTGGAGTTTGAGCAAAGAAAGCCTTTGTCCCTGGCATGCTGAGGGGACAGCTTGAAGTGCACCTACATCTGCAGCTGCTGAAAATATGTGCTTTAGCACCAACAGCTCCACAACAGTTTTTATTTCTGCAATGTCACTCTATGAATAAATTATTCCATTCAAAATCCACACACAGCTACAAGCCTGGTTTTGAATCTCATGAATCCAGAGTTAAGAAAAGAAAGAGCTGACCCCATTTCTGTCACAATACACATTTAAATAATTGAATAGAGAAAATAAAAATCCGAGAGCCATGAATGGAGTAATTAAGGACCAAAGTTTAAGGGTGACAGGAATTTTTCATGTCTCATTAGCAGGGGATGGATCTCCACAGCAGAGCAGTGAATCTGCTATGGCTGGGACTGAAGGAGCAGTCCCATCAGCAGGGAAGAGAACCCCAGAGCCCCAGGACACATGGATGCAGCTGGGACAGTGCAGTGCTGCTCCTGGATGGGACAAAAAGCCCTCTTGCTTTAAAACTGACACTTCCACGGTGACATGTCCAAACAGGACAAGAGGACATGGCCTTCAGCCAGGGGAGGGCCAGGTTGGACACCAGGGGGATCCTCCTGGAAAGGGTGCTCAGTCATTGGAAGGGGCTGCCCAGGGAGGTTTCTGGAGTGTTCAGGGAATGTCTGGATGTGGCACTCAGTGCTCTGGGCTGGTGCCAAGGGTGGACTCGATGGTCTGAGAGGGCTTTTCCAACCTCAAGCACTCCATGTGAGAATTAAGGATCACAGGGCAAAACTCCAGGCTGAGCAAAGGGCATGGGGAATCTGCTTTTAGAACAGGACACAGCACACCCAATGTTAATCCTGCTGGATGGGAGTGCTGCCCTACCCAATTCTGCAGGAAAACTCTGAACACCAGCCAGTCAAACCCTTGTCCTTAATAACTACTATCCCAATTACTAAATGACTTTATCCTTCAGTGTTACCATGCCAGCTATAGAATAATAGGTGTTAATTATGCAGTTCAGATGTAATTCAACCCCTACAGATTGCAGTTTACTTCCCCAAAGCCTGGAACAGAGCCAGGTGTTTCAAAGCCCCTCCACCTTGGCTTTGGGATCTCCTGAGGTTTGAGCATAGCCTAGCAGCACCCTGCAGGCTGCCTGCCAGCTTCAGGCATTCTTGATTAATTCTCATTCCCACTGTCACTTCATTTTTATTTACTGCTGCTGGAAGCAGGAGGCACAGAGTGTGTGACCTCAGATCCACCAGAGCAAAGCACGTGGAGTGATGGATTAGCAGGGTGGAAACAAAGAGTTCTTCTGCTTTCTTTTGCCTAATGTGAAACAGCCCTCAATGCCTGAGAAAAGCTTAGGACAGAGGTTTCAACATGTGTGAACATCTGGAAGGATGGGGTAGAAATATCCAAGTCAGAAATGCCTGTGGGCAGGTTTTAAAAAGGTTTTGTGGATTTACAGAATACCCAGGATTTGTTATCCAGAGAAGTTGTGGCTGCCCCATCCCAGGATGGGGCAGGGAACAACCAGGTCTAGTGGAAGGTGTCCCTGCCCATGGCAGGGGGTGGAACTGGATGGGCCCCAAGTTCTTTTCCAACTCAAATATTCCATGATTCCATTTCCAAACACCTGCACACATGAGGACTGAACTCATGGACAACCTGCCAATGGAAATTTCATTTCCCTGGTCATCTTCAGGCAAGTGGTGCCAAGAGGCAGAAAAGAAGAACAGAAAACAAGGCAGGGGAAAGGTCATCTGGTGACCAGAATTTTAATGGAGCTGAAAGCAGAGCAGCTTTTATGAGCCCTGAGCACACACAGCCTGGCCCTGACCAAGGGGTGAGGACACACAGGAGGCTGCATCATGTGAAAATTTATTGTTTAATAAAAGCACCCACTAACTGCTTTTGTTTTGTTTTGTAAAATCCTGAATCAAAGAAGAAAATCCTATATAGACATGGAGAGGGAGGTTAACACACATTCTGAAAACAGATTTTGCACTGGGCAGGAGTCACCTGGATGTTGCACATAGATATATCCCTTTAAAAAAGACATGAAAGCTTTCCCCTCTCTGTACTTCTGTATGTACATAAAGCACACAGAAGAATATCTGTGAGCTAGAATCTGTCC